AAAAACAAAACTTCATAATAATTCTCACGAACATATTTTGCACAAAATATATTATAAATAATAATAAAATCAATGCTTTTAATAAATAAAAAAAAAAATTATAAAAATTACAAAAAAAAAAATGTTTAATTTATTTTCCAAATTTCAATTCTTTTATTTTATTTCCTCACTATGTCGATTATTAGAAAATAACATTTTTTTGATGTTGTAGATTAACCTAACTATAGCAATTTTCTAAATCAAACAAAAAAAAATATATATATATATATAGAAAAAAAACAATTAAACACCCAACCAAAAAAGAAACAAACTTATGTTTAGTGTTTTAAATGTACGCATAAAATAAAAATTAAAAATGTTAATTAAAAAAATTTAGTTTTTCATTTCTATAATTTGTATAGCACGAGTACGAATAAAACATATACACATACCTATATAGATATATCAATATTATTTTATAACACTAGGTCCTCGACTATAGGCTAGATCGACGTCGTATCGAGGAAATTTATGTCACAAGTCGAAAAAAAAATATGACTTAAATGACGACACCGTATCGCAAATCGAAATGTCGTAAAAGAAGACGTCGTAGGTCTCGAGGAACCATAGTGTAGTTGAATAAAATTTTAAAATGTCAAAATATTTGAAGTTATTCAATTAATATGGTTGGTTCTTAAAACTAATACGTTCCAACCATTACGGTATATTCATATTTCTCCATTATATCAAAATGGCCAGTTTTGTATTTAGTTGAAAACGCAACAAAATATGAAAAATTTTAAAAATTCAAAAAGTATTTTTAAAAAGTTGCAACAACAGATCATTTTGTTTTATATTTCAGTAATTTGATATATCTATAGAGTATTAAAATTCGCCCTTTATTAAATTTATATACGCGTCAATTTTATATTTTTCCTATTATTTTAAAATTGAATTATTTTCACATTTAAATTTCATGTTTCACTATAAAAGATCTTTTGTTTTCTTACAGGAAAATTTTATTTTAGATATTTAAATAAATATTTTTGTTTATATATACACTTATGTATGTATTTTGCATACGAATTTGATAATTTATCAAATTTTAATGTATGTATAAATAAAATATATGTGATTATAAAAATCAATGTTTTTAACCATTGATTTCAATTTAATTTTTAATATTATAATTTTCTTTAATATTTTTTTTTTTTATAGTTAATTTTTTTTGTACCTAAAATAATAGCTATTTCTCGAAAACTTTATCAGTATTGCTCCGCAATCGATTTCAAACTCAATTCGATTGCAAAATAATGATTTAAACTGTGAAATAATGTGTTTTTCCATATGTAAATACTTAAGTGCACTACTTTAAACAAAATATATACAAGAAATTTTAAAGTTACAATTGTGTAACCATATAAGTGCAACTGTGTTAAAATTTAAAAAAAAACACTAATTATAAACTCAAAAACCAAATACAAATATTAGATGTATTTAATATTTATTATATTAATTAAAACAAATTAATTGATGTCAAATATTCGTTGTAGCTATTTATTTATATTTCCAAACCGTATTTTGAACGATTTATTTTTTATATAATTAAAATTGTAATTTAAGAATTTTATGTTCAATATTAATTTACGAATTATTTTTATAAAATTATCTTTTATACATCTAAATATTATGTGAAAGGTTTTCGAGTAAATCTTTAATCACAATTTCAGTAGATTTTAATCATTATACTTCAAAAATTGTGTAAAACCTTACATTTAAAATTATTCAACATTCTGTTGTAGCTGAATTTTTATAATTTAAGAAATTTATTTTTAATATCTTTTTTTTTGTTTTTATAATAATTATTACTCCTAATTTCATTTAATTTTATTTTTTAATTTTATTTTTTATTATTTTATTTTCTTTTTTTTTTTATAATTTTAGCTGTTGGTGCACTACAAAAACTTGCTCGAAAAATATCTATTCAAAGCTCCTTAAATAGTGAACGTAGTAGTCGCAGTAATAGTAGGATATTAGAAGGCGGTGCTCTGGAATATCCAATTGAATGTTAAAATTGAAATTTATAATTTTTAAATAATTTTTTTTTTTTTTTTACATATTAATTATTATTATTATTGTTATTATTATACATAATATTTTCATTTGAATATACATACATTCATGCATAATTATATATGTATTAATGAAATTATATTGTGTTTAAAAAATTAATTTAAGGATAAACCAAAAAATAAAAATTCAATTTATTTTCAAACTTTGTAAATCTACACATACAATACACGCACTTTACACACAAGATACATAAGTAAAATATACACATTTAATCTATATATATATATATATTTATAAATGTATTAATAAATACATGTAATTAATTATAACTTAAGATTTTAATTTGAAAATATTAATAATATTCATATACATACATAAAAATTTTGAACAATTATTATTACTTTTTTTTCTAGTTTTTTTGTGCTTTAAAATATATAAGTTTAAAAAAAGTTTTTAGTATAAGAGAAATGAAAAAGTATATAAAAAAAAAATAAATTGAAAAAAAAAAAACATAATTATTAACACAAATTATAAATTCACTGTAATTAAAAAAATTAATTAATTAATTGAGCTTTGAAAAGTATTAAATGACAAAAAATTTTTTATCTTTTTTTTTTTTAATTATTTAATAATTTATAATAAAAATATTATATGAAAAATTTAATAATAATTATTGGTTTAAATTGTATAAAGTATATAATAAAAATCTTTAAAATTTATAAGAACTTTTCACGGCTTAATAAAATAAAAAATCAAAATGAAAATATAAATCAAAATTTTTTTAATTAAATATTTTTCTTTTTGGTTCTGATTTTTTGAAAATCTATACAAAAAATTCGCAAAAAATTTTTTTTTCCAAATAATTTCAGTAGAAAATATGGTGTGCGTTGTATTTAAAGAAAAATAAATAAACCTCCAACTTTTTTTTTACATCTTCTTGTAAATTGTGAACAATTCAATTTGATGATTTTAAAACTGTCTGTCTATTAATCTTATAAGATTATGAAATCTTTTTAGCAAATTTAAATTTATAATATTTATTTTTTATTATTTTAAAAATTCTTAAAAAATTATTCTAAAGACATGATTTTTTAATATTTTTAAAATGATTTTAACAATAATAATAACGCACACTTCTATAATTTTCTGTATCAATAATGTTTTGCGAATTATTTAATTTCAACAGATGTAATTGTGAAAGCATTTAAATTTTGAGATGGTATTTTTAGTACCATCAGTGAGGATTTCTAAAAAATTTACATATACTAATTAAATAAAATATAATTATTAAAAATTGCATGATTTCATTGATTTGTTTTTTTTTTTTTTAATTTCCTAGCACAACTATTTTTTGTATTAAACTAAAATATTAAAATTTAATATTATAATTTAATTTATATTATACAAAATTTTTAATTTAAATATGTATATAGAATTTTAATTCTTAAACATAATCATTTAAAAAATATAAGCAATACAATTTTAATTTCTAAGAAAATTATTTTTAAAAAATTTTTTAAAAATCAAAATTTTTCCTTTTTTTTTCTTGTTTTGTCTATCAAATCAGAAATTACTTTTCAGTTCATATTTTGCATGATCAGTTTAAAATTTTTGAATTTTGATTTTTACTTTTTAAATACGATTTCATAAAACATTAAATTTTTAAATTTTACTAATTTTTCTTAAAAAATAATATTTTTAAAAGCTTTACTTTAAATAACATTTTATATACAAATTTTATTATATGTTTCCTTATACCTACATATTATTTTGTAATATTATTATAACTAATCAACCAACACAAATAACAGCGCAAATCAAATTTTAGAATTTGTGTTATTCTTTTATTTTGAATTTAAAATAAGAAAAATATACAAAGTATTTAATAATTAAATAAAATAAGTCAATATTTTTAATAATAAAATTGATGTTTTAAGTTTTTACAAAGTAGAGTAGATTTTAATTTTACTAATTGTTTTAGTTTATTTTAGTATTTTTTTTTTTTTGTTTTTGCAATAAAGAATATAAATATTTTTAATTAACAATATTTTGTTGTATTATTTTCATTTAAAATGCATATAGATAGTTGCAGTAAAATGTTTGTATTTTGATATTTTTTCTATTAAGCTTAAAATTTCTCTTTATTTAAAAACAACTTTACTATTCTTTTCATCTGTTTGTTACTAAAATAATATTTTTTTTCCAAATAACTAGATTGAAATTATTTATTTTGAAAAAACAATTCTTATTTTATCCGTTTTTTTGAAAATTAGGTATATATAATTTTAATATGTACTATATTTCTAATATGTATATAAAATATTTGAAAAATTTTTAATTTCAATTTTACAAACTACAATTCTCAACGAATTTTCAATTTTCGTACATATTTTTTTTTTCAAAATTGAAAAGTTCGTTTTTTTCTATTTTTGATCAATCGAATTATAAAAAATATTTATAAATTCAAAATTTTTTTTTATAATTTCACACATAAATAATATTGTTTAAACATTTCATTACAAAAATCCTATATAAATTAACCTATTCCATACCATATTTGATCCAGCGGAATATTTTCATTTCTATTGAATTATCAAAAAAAAAAAATATTTTCATTAATATTGTTTTATACATTATTTAATTATAAATTATTCTTATCATATTAATATATATACATATATATTATTTCCCAATAAACCCAAAAAGTTAGAGACATCCTTTTTTCCATATTCCAATTATCCTTCAAAATTAAGTTCTTTTAAAAAAAAAAAAAATTTTTTTTTAACTACAAAAAAAAAACATTCAAAAATTTATTAGTCAAAATACACAACATTACCAAAAATAAGCTGGTCTCTCTGCTCTCTGAACTAATAACTCACAAAAAAACTATCCTCCTTGCGTTGTTGTTTGTCTCCTTTTTGTTGAATAACAACTCAAAAAAAATTTAGCAACTCCTTTGTCAACCCCAGCAACAACTCCAACTTCAGGACGATATCGTAGTAGCATCTTTTATAGTGGAAATTATCGTACATCAAATAAATCATCACCAACAACACCAAATGATAATAATGAAATAACATCAGTTATGACAACAGCATCAACAATAACATCATCAGCATCATTATCATCATCATCAAATATAAATTCAACAAATATAATGGCAAAATTGAATGGCATAGCAGCAACAACACTAACAACATCACCATTTAACGATGATGATGACGATAACGGTAATAATGTTCTAATACCAGAAATTTCTAATACATCAGCAACATCAACAATTATGAATAAAAAAGTTGAAATTATTGAAGAAGATATTAATTTTAATACTAGTGTTGGTATTGTAACCGTTAGTACAACGCCATCAACAAAAATTCGTATCACCGAAAATCCTTTACCAGAAACTGTTGCATGTTAGATAAATCATAACCGAAGAAACAAGAAAACTAAAATTAAATGAAATTAAAATTAAAAAATAAAATATTGAAAATGCTTAAAAAATATTACAATATTGTATATTAACATTATATAAAAACAAATAAAACACTAAAAACAAAAATCCTTGTCAATCCTTGACTTGACAACAAAAAAAAAAACGAATAAAAAAAAATTATAAAGTTAAAACAAAAAAAAAAACAATAGCTAAATATTAAATTAATATTAATTAAATTATAGATAATTTAAATAAGGAATTTGTGTAAAAATAAACAAAGAAAATAAATTATTCAAAAAAAAGTTATGTGATAGCTAGGAAGAGTTTGTGATAAAAATGAAAATAATTCAAAAAAAAAAAATATGTGCAGGAAAGGAATTCGCTTAGCGAAATGGATTAGAAATAGTTTAGAATGGAAATTGAAAGTTAAAAATTTTTAACTATTATAATTACAATTACATAATATATCTGTATATATATATATATATATATATATACATATATATATATATATATTATATATATAAATTAACATATACATTGATTTTTTTTATAATTTTGTTTTTTAAAATTATTAATAAAGAATGTACATAGAATAAAACAAAAAAATATTAAGATGTTAAAATTAAAAATAAAAATGGAAAATGAAATATATAATTAAATATAATATAATATAAAATGAGATTTTTAAATAAAAGCAAATAATGTTTTTTTTTTTAATTAAAAAATTTAGTCGAATTTAGTTCGTTTTCTTGCTTTTTAGTAAAATAAATTGTATAACTATTGAAGATTAGTATATTAAATAGTTGACATGAAATTCTTCGTTCTATAATGAATTATACAGTACACCTTATTAATATATCACACGTCGCTTTTGTTATTCGCATTCTAATCTTAATTTAATAATTCACTCCTCTTCAGTAGTTTAGAATTATTTTTATGTATAGAAAATAGCATTCAAGTACAATAGAGCGACTAAAAATAAAATTTCAGAAAAAATAAAAATTAAATACATATAATAAAAAAACTTTTAAATATTAAAAGAAAAACTTACGATATAAATCAAATATTAAATGTTCGCAGAATATTAAAGTTGTATCTATTTGAATTCAGCTTGAATTGAAAAACATGGCATATAAATATGAACTAATTACTCATTTTGTATTTCCAAGTGAATACGGACTCTGTTTATCTTTTTAAGTGAATGATAGCAAGTATCACGGCAAAATAATGATACGCATTTTAACCAAACTTTCCAAATTAAAATTCATTTCAATGAACTATCATCACAATTTTTAGTATCGTCCATTCATTGTATGTATGAAGTTGATTCCCAAAAAATAAAAGTAGTAGTCGAATAAATAGTTGAAGAATGTAAACTTGTATATTTGAGTTGACATCACTATCAAATGCTCCAAATTACTCAAAAAAGAACAATGGATTTAAATCCGTTTACCTACTGGACATACAGGGACGATCATCATCTATTCTTAGCACCCTCGGGCGTTCCTGTTATTTCCTCGATTTGAAAGCTACAAGGAAAAAAAAATTAGTAGAATAAAAAATTTTCAATTTTTATTAGATATTTAGTAAGTATATGCACTTTTTTTTAATATTTTCACTATCTTTTTTTCAACAATTTTAGATCATTCTCATACATAAATATACAATTAGTCCGTTATCATGATCTATTCTATTGTAAAGGAGTGATATCTTATATATACAAGCTCATTTTATATTAATGTAACTTTTACTAAATGTTCATAATAAATAAAAATAAAAAAAACGTACACAACAAAATAAAACAATGATTTTTTTGTAGTATAAAATAATGGCTAATTATACAATTAATATTAATAGTATATTCATAAAAATATTAAATACAAAAAATAATGTAGTATGTAGTTTTACTTCCACCTTCTATTAAATAAATTATAAAAATTTTTAATAAAATTAACTTATAATTATATTATGTAATTAAAAATAGTCTCAAATAAATAAAAAAATTAAATACTTATTTAAAAAGCGTAAGTGTTATATACATGAAAATCGGAAATCGAATATCAAAAAACCTAAAAAATAAAAATTGTAGTTATTCTGGCCTAGACGCTACATTTATACATATATATATACATATATATATGTATATATATGTATATATATATACATATATATATATATATATTGTATAAAATATTATAAAATAAAATATTTATGTACTGTATAAAAAATATAATTTATAATGAAAAATATGCATATAGCAATATTCTTATACATATCTTTTAAATACTTTAAAATGGAATGCATGGATCAAAACAAAATTTAGTTCAATTAAAAAAAAAAAAAAACAAACCAAAATGCAAAAAAACATAACAAAAAACATCAAAGTAAATATTTGTATTTTTAAAATCAAACTATTATACAAATTTTTTATTTAAAATTTAATTAAAAATCATTTTCCAGCAAAAATTATTTAACTTCAAAAATTACTAAAAATAGAAAAGCAAGAAAATAAAAATAATATATACATACATATACATATATATATATAATAATTAATTATAACATTAAATTAAATGGTTTTTTAAATAAAAACAACGATGTTTTTAACAAAAATATAAAAAAAAAATTAAAACTGCCATAGCATAAAATATAAAAAAAATAATCAATGAAAAAAAAAAAAAACTATTATTATTCTTGTTATGTTAAAAATTTTTGAGTATAAAATTTTAGTAATAATTTTTATACTTATAATTAATTTGATTTAATACGATAATTTATTTGAAAATTTACGATAATATGAATAATTTAAAGATTGAAATAAAGAATTATTATTATATATATATATATTATTAAAGTAAAAATATTTCATTCTTAACTAAAATTGAATTCAAATGCCCAATAAATTAATAATTACACAAAATAAAAAACGTGTTATAATCAAAAGAGTAAAACTTTAATATTAATAAAGGAATTGTATTAATTAATTGAAATTTAATTAATTAATATCAGCTTAAATCGATTTTTATTATTTTCTTCGATATATTCCATTTTTAAAACATCGAATAATTTAATAAAAGAAAAAAACTAAATGGGATTTAAATTTATTTAAAACCATCTACATATATTAAAACTTAATAAAATTGTGTTTCTAAAACAAATATTTTTAGTAAATGAAATTTATAAATGATTTCTGAAATAGCTTTTTTTAGATTACAATAATTAGTATTCTGTTTTTACAACAATTATCAAACTTTATTTTATATTAATAAAAAAATATTACCATATCGCTAGGTACTTTATCAATGTTTAATAATAAAATATATATAATATTATATTATATTATATAGATAGAATATTAAAAACTAAATAGCATATATTATACAAAAATTTCTTATTTTCTACATAAATTTCAAACGCACTTATAAGATTGTGTTTTTGTTTTTTTGTATTTTTACTCTTTTTTATAATTATACAAATAAATTAGCATAATTCGTTTACTATTACTTTAAATTTTTTCTTATTATATCAAGATACCTTCCCGAAAATCCCCACCTTCTTCATCTTTACTTCTATGACTTCACTTAAATATTTTGTATTTACAAATACTTATCTTATTTTAGAAATATTTGACAATTTCAATTTATTAAATCTAATTCAGTATGCTAGTATGAACTAGATTACATTTATATTCTATATTAAATTTTCAAATACATAAAAATATAATTTATTATATAATATATCACAATAAGCTTATAGACAGAAAAAAAGATAACTATTATATTCATATAAGTATAAAATTTTACAAAGAAACTAAAACGAAAAATAAAAATAAAAAAAAAAACCTAATGATGAAAAAAATCTTTTCATTCTTTATAAATTTTTCAAAATAAATTGTAATAGTTAAGAGAATTGCTTTTGCTAAATAATCAATATATTTTTCAAAAACAAATAAAAAAAACAAAACAACCAAAGAAAACACTTAACTTTCTTACATCATTATGTAATAAAATTATAAAATGCGAATTAATAATCTAAATAAAATAATAGTAAATAAAGAACAAAAAAAAAATCTTCATAATTTAAAAACTTACGATATAAAAAGAAATTAAAATTAATTAAATAATTTAATAATTTAATGTTGAAAAGTGTGTTGAATAAAATTGCGTCAAAAACGAAAAAAAAACTACTATAAAATATACACAACTAAAAATAATTAAAAAAAAAAAACAAAACTAATTTATCAATAAAAAATTTTTTTAAAATTAAAGTTCTTTACTTCAATTTTAGTAGAAACAACTTCGAAAAAGTATATAAAAAAAGAACAAAAATATTAAAAATCTAAACAACTTTGTTCCAATAAAAAATTCTTTTTTTTTTTTTTGAAAACAGAAAAATATTGAACTTATACACTTTATTGCCAATATTTTCATTTCTTATTTCGATTTATAGTTCATAGGAATACAAATAAAAATAATCTTAACTGTATTCACTTAAAATAAAATCATACAAGAAACTCATGTAAATTGCATTTAAAATTTATGAAATTTGAATAAAATTGAATTAAATTCATATTATAGTTAAAATGTACATAATTACTACATAATTAATTAACTAATAATGTTAACAAAAACATTACAACGTTCCTAACTCCTTATTTAATAAGGATAAATTAATTAAATTAAATAGAATAATGGTTAAAAGCAGCCAAATTGAAAATGTCTTACTATATAAATTCATATTACAATTTTCACAATTCTACATATAATATGTACATTTACATACAGTTATTTATATATATATATATACATATATAATAATTATAATAAAATTTTCAAAATTTATACGAAAATGTGCAAATGTTGTAAATAATTATATAAATCTAATTTTTAAGAATGAATCTTTTCTTACATATTGTATATTTATATTCATAAAAGCGTATATAATTATAATTTTTATAGGTTAACATCAAATTTGTTTGAAACTTATTAAAATATACATTTTGTACATTTATTTTAATCTTAAAAATTATTAAATATTTCTATGTTTCAAAAATTTTCCAAAACATATTAATTATCGAATTTATATAGCAATATCCATCATAAATTTAACATAAAATATGATTTTATTCTCTAAAAATATATACGCTTATACGCCCATGAACTTTAAATCAATTTGAAATGAAAAAATTTAAGTTCTATACTCTACTAAATACTGTATTAAAATTTAATTTTCTTTAGTGAAATTAAAACTTTTACAATATTTCATATATTTAAGGAACTTAGATAACAAGCACGTTATTATTATATTATATCACCTAACCAAAAATAAAAAAATAAATTTAAATACATACTACAAAAAGAGTTTAAATTAAATTTCAAGGCGTGATAAATATATAAATAACTATAGCAGAAAACATCATTATTATTAAAATAATTTTTTCCTTATATACTTTTCTGTTGAGTTTTTTAATAGGTTACTCTTAGGAAATTAGAAATTACTAAATATAATTTATACCA